ATTCACATTTACCAACTCGGTTAACTTTCAGAGAGTATTTAAAATACTATTTACTCGTTTTGCTCATTATCAGATGAAGTTGTCGTCCCTCTGGAAAAAATATAATATTCAATTTAAAGTCATTTGACCGTGAACCTAAAAAAATTCGTCTGCGGCGCATGTCAACATGCGAAAGTTCAATGTGATATCATACAAAAGTTCCTTGCCCCCCCTGGTATAAACTGAAATGACGCCCCTGTTTCATCCATGATAAGATGTTCATTCACTCAAGATGTTCGTGAATACGGTGGTTGAATGTTCTAGCTGTTTGACCAACATAGATTTTAGGGCAAGACCTTAGATCATTCAGGATCTCGCTTTCACAGCTAAATAATGTGGTAACATTGAAATCAATAGTAGTCCAAATTTCTATCGTAATCTGATATGACATGTCCCAAAGACATGTAAATACATTGAATTTTATCAAACGGCAACTGTGCCAATCACTATCATGAGTAATAACTGCCCAGGAATCAATTTTGGTCGGCCTTATGCTGGCCACAATTGGCCGGCAAAATTCCTGTGAACATTGATGAACCAGTACCAATAGGAAACTGGCCGTCATCAGTGCCAGTACATGTCTGCTGATACATTCAATTGAAAAAAAAAACAAGACGACCGCCACAGGAATCGAACCCCGGTCCTCAGCTATCACTTGTTCACAAATCGAACTTATATTCCAACTGAGCTACTACACCTTTATTGAAATAATGAAATGACAAAGAAAAATATCCGATCCTCAGATTGACTACCGAATTTCTGTCATACCTATTCATGTAAGAGTCAGACGACTTGCCTATTTTTTTTATGGCCGAATTTGATGACTTTCATGATGATATTTAAATGCAAAACGGCAGAATAGCGCAGTGGTTGAGCGCTCGACTAGCAATCAGAACGCCGAAAGGTTGTTAGGTTTTTTGCTGGCAATACAGATAATTTTAATTTATAAAACGAGTTATAAATTCTAATTTTCTTAGCCTCGGCCGGAGATGATTCCGCACAATTCGCTGTTGCGTTCCAATTAACAGTGCTTTTCCTAAAGTGGCGTATGGAGTTAGTAACAAAGCCTACACCGAACACACATGGGCTGAAGGACCTCTCGTAAGGTCGGTGGCAATAAATGCAATAAATGAACATTAGTAGTGGTAGTAGCTTACAGTGAAGTCTAGTATGTTATACGGACGGATCGCGCCTAACTGACAAACAGGACTCAGGCGCAGGAATTTACCTAGAAGGATTAGGCATAAGGGAGAGCTACGCTCTTGGAAAGTATACCACAGTTTTCCAGGCCGAGGTCTTTGCCATTCTGGCAGTAGCGGAGAGGCATGAGGTGAAAGAGGGACCAGAGCAGAAGATTTACATCTGCTCGGATAGTCAGGCGGCTCTCAGGGCTGTCTGCCATCCTAAACCAAGCTCAGCCTTGGTGCAGGAATGTGGCGATGCTCTTGAGAAACTAGCTGAACAGAAGGAAGTCGAACTAGTATGGGTTCCGGGGCATAGGGGGGTGCCCGGGAACGAGGTGGCCGACGAGCTGGCTAGAATCGGATCCGCGACACCGTTCTGGGGACCGGAGCCTGCACTGGGCATAACAAGAAGCCAAACTTCGTCTGCCCTTAACAAATGGGCGGACGAGGCACTAGAAGTATATTGGAGGCGTATAGGCGGCTGCAGGCAATCGAGAGACCTGGTGGCCGGTCCAAGCAAGACAAGGACGGCTTGGTTGCTGGGCAGGGATCGCCAAGTCCTGCGCCTTCTTATAGGGATACTGACAGGGCATAACAGGTTACGCAGACACCTATCACTCATAGGTGTGGAAGATAGTCCCACTTGCCGCGAATGCGGAGAAGATGAGGAGACATCACTTCACTTCCTCGGAGAGTGTGAGGCGTATGGAAGGATGAGATTCGAAATCTTTGGAGTAGATAAACTACAACAGGAAGACTTGGTCGAATTAGAGTGGACGGACATCCTGACCTTCATCAGAAGGACGGGAAGGTTCGAAAAGGACAACTAAAAGAGGGATGTGTAGATATGTGGAGAGCAGGGGTTGGCAAAAAGGGCCCATGGGGGCCTACTTGCCTGGCTACAGCCTCCCCACAATACTACTACTACTACCAACAGTGAAAGTCAAAATATAAGTCATTAAACGGCCTAAAACATCCACCTGCACTCAATTCCATAACACACATTTTTTATATTTGTCATCTGAATGTCATATTATTCAACATTAACAAACTCAGGTATTATATTGGCCAAACCGGTGAAAAATGCATCCATCGTAATCACGAACATCAAACCATAGCTTCGATTATAACTTGTGAGAAACTTCAGTTCAATGAACTTCATTTGATTCAAAATACACATTTTTTTATTCTGGGGTTTTTACTACAAGCTGAGTAGCATATATCGCCATGTCCTTGATGAAGCCAGTTTTGAAAAACATTTCAAGCTGATACTTCGCCTATTCACCATTAAAATAAATGTTGTTTTCCTCTTTGATAAAAAAATGTTTTTGATTTATATTGGTGAATAAAGTCGATTGTTAATCAGGATGACTGTATTGATTGAGATAATTGACTCAAACCTAAAAGTTATGTGGAAAATTCAGTTGGCCTTAATAGGTTCAGGTGCCGTATCAGGTGACAATTATTCTTATCAGTTTCATGGAGCAGAGTACTTGGAGTGTCGAAGCCATTTTAGGCTTATTACCGTCTTTGTGAGATATTTTTGATATTTTTGAGGGATTAATCGTTGTTTTTTGTTATGATGGAGTTCCATTAGCATCATGGGAAAGCTAACTACCGAAATTGGTGGGTGAAAATGCTGCTCAGCATAATTTCGTTTATACTCTGTACATGATATAGAAGCCAGGCCTTAGTTATTGTAGGGTGAATTACATTTTCATTGTATATTTACACTGAATAATGGTTGATTTATCTTGAAACACTCTAGGTAGCATTGTGAACACATTTAGGTATCTGAATAAAGACTACACAACAAATGAAATGGAAAATTTCGTTCAATTTTGAAATTCCGTATATCAAAAATCCAAGTCACTGTCTGATAATTAGAAAGTTTGCTGATTTGTTTGCCCTATATGGGTCCAAAAAAATACTCTTTCACATGATCATGTTTCAATAGAGAATAGGACAGTTAATTTTTGTGAAAGATGAAGACGAAATGTAATGAAAAATTAATTTTTTCCATTATTTATAATTTGCGAGATATCACCACCTTGTGGTCCCTAGCTCTTTATTGCAGAAAAATGATAGAAAAAGTATTTAGGAACTTTACAGAAACATGTCTGATATTGAAATTGAACTAAATTTTTCGAAGTTTCATACACACCTATAGATACAAAATGATCGTTTCACATTGGCTATTATCTCCATCATTTTCTGGCGTGAATTGTAAATTGAAAAAACTGAAATAATATTGAACAAATCCAAATCTAACAAATCTTAATCTGGAATGCAAAATTTCATACGCAGCGAAATTAAAAAATATTCCATGAAAACAAATCACCTGGTTCATTATTTCATGAAATTTCGTAGTAAACGATACTAGTGATCATTGTGATATTCGAATTGTTTCAAAATTTTGCTTTAGTTATTCAAAATTCGATTTGATCGGAAATTGAAGATCGCCCTTATCATCCACCTTTTGATTCACGAAACTTGACAAAATGCGTTGATAAACCAGGCGATTTGTTTGGATTGAAACTCATCTCCCAGTATTAAATTTTTCATTCCATATTGGGATTTTTTTCACCTTACCTGGACTCAATAATCACATACCTATTCACACGAATTTCCTGTTTTAAATTTGAAATTAGTTATTGATTTTGTTTCGCAATGTTGTGATGAAACTGATCGATGTTATAGATTTCTTTGTGTTATCCTAGATGTAAACAGTCTAATATCGCTTTGTACCTTCTTTATTGCATGGAAGCGTGAATTTTCACATTTAGTGCATGTAAAATGTGTAAAATTACATCTCATACATTATACAGTATGATGGGCTAAAATGGTAGTATGGAAGAATTGCTCTGTCACCAGTTTTTCCAAAGCGAACATTGCTTTATGATTTTATGGTAAGGTTAAACAACCCAATCTTTCATAACACCGTTTGCCCACATATTTCCTAATATGTTACACCTATCTCTGATAAGTAGTTATAAGTGAGTTTTCATCAGAAAATTGGTTTTGAAGTTTCATACTCCAAGCAGTTGAACGTCCAATAATTGCTTTCATTTTAATGTTTCTTGGATGTATCGGAAATTGATCTAACAATAAGTATTAAAAAATTACCAAGAATCATGGTTGAAAGTTTTATGATACGGTTTTTCGAATTATTTTTTCACCAGTATAATGAACTAAGATTCAAAATAGTTTGTAATGCAAAATGGTATGCTTTGAATGCTGAAGTTGAAGTCTGTACTAGAAAATGAAAAGCCAAAATCCATAAAATCTTCAAACCAAGCATATCAAATTCGTCTGTCAATGCATCAATGTAAACCTCTTCCATATATCAAATTATTTAGGAACGAAATACAGCTTCGGTATAGTTGATTAACACCTTGAAACACCATACCATCAGTCATATCTTCTCTTAGCATGTCAATGAAGACATTCATCGATGAAATATTAATCATTATCAGTCTTCTCACTTCGCCTCTACAGTATTCTTGCATAAAATCTCATAAAAAATATCAGGGTGCCTCTTTTTATACGCAAGGACCAATAACTCAATGACCTATCCTGATATTGAAGAAGAATATCAATCTCAGTGGTGTTTAGGTAAACTTAAGTTGAACAGTTAGATTTTTGAGATCTGCAGACTTGGCATAGGTTTACATTGGTCCGTTGATTTTCCATCTTACCGCCTCATCTTCATCACCATCCATATCATCCAGTCAACCGAACACACGATGGTCTGAAAAAACGATTTTTTTCTCTTAGAACAACGAATATATTCAGTCCGTGGCCCGTTGTCTCCAGATGATGTTGAGAATCGATGAATATCGTTTCGCTTTCGTCTCAGTCGATGGTATTTCCACGCTGTTGTCTGTGCTTTCCGGAAGAGTCAATTTCCAGGTGAGTACTGCTACTACTAGAAATATACCGACCATCAGAAATTGTATTGTATGCATACACTGCGACCTAAAAGATCTATTGTGCCTCCTTCTGTTGTTATACCCGATATGGTTATTCTCCGTAGCTAAAGCAATTTCTCTTGTCCCTCAGAAACTTCAGTCTATGAGGTGGTTCCAGGTAGGGTAGCTCCTCCTCCTTTATTAGGTATGCTCCTAGGTTTCTTGCCCTTAGGTTCTGTAGGGTGACACATTCCGTTAGTATGTAGATAGTGGTGTCCTTTTCGTTCCCACAGAACCTGCATTCGTCTTCCTCTACTTAACCAAGCTTCCTAAGACAGTGTCCTGTTAGGACTCCCGTGAGTATTCGAAGTTTATTGTTGCTTTGGCTGATATATAGTCTGGCTCGTAAAAGATGACCGGTGGAAAGAATGTGAGCCCAGAGCACAATATAAATGTTGCGATCATCAACTCACTGTCAATTTAAAAACGGAATCCCAAGCGCTCGCTAGAAATGGTGGTATCTGTTCAAACGTGGAGTCAGTCATATCCTTTCTACTCCAGTATGTCCCGGAACCCATAGAAGGGTGAATGTATTTTTGTTGGCTAGCTCGTTCAGTTTATCCCGGCGTTTCTGAACCATTTAAAATCTGATAACCATAGAGCTTTGCGCTTTAATGGCTGCTTGACTATCGGACATGATAATCGTCTTCCATAGCTTTTTTCTATATTGAACTGAACACATTTCCCTATAGCGTGAACGTCCGCCTGGAATATGCTTGGGAACTTGCCAAGGTTTTCGAAATACTTGGTACAAGGCTGGGTCTCTATTCCAGTTCCATTTTTGGTTTTGGGGAGCAATCTGTGTACCACTTTATGGCTCCTTCTTTGAGCTCAATACCCATGGATTCACTGTTCCATTATTTTTTTGCAGCTCCATCCACCATCTATCAAGAATTTCTATGAGTTTGGTTTCTTCTTCTGAATCCTGAGTCCGATTCCGATTGTTTTCATTTCTAACCTACAAATGAATAGGTCGCGTGCACGATGAACGACCCTGGAGGCAAAATATTGAAACACAACCTCACTCTTCTGTGAATTATTGAAACACAATCTCACTTTTTTATTTGTTTACAGGTGAATCAAAAGATTGAAATAGTTTTTCACAATATTTTGGCATACGAATCGTGTTTCTTGCGCTATTCATTAATTCAAGCATGCCTTCGCATTGTGCGGTTGTACAATGCACAAAAAATGCAGCAAGATACTAGGGAATATGATTTTTCAGGTAAATAGTAATCCCACATAGTTATCATTATGAAATGTTGTCATTCCTTATTAAAATTCCTTCTGCCTTCTGCCACTTCTGCAATACAAGCTAATACTGCTAATAGTTTGAAAATGTGTACAACACACACGATCTTCAGCATGTCAGACCAGTCCTCCCGATTGATTGCATGAATCCAATCTTCTTGCATTATTTTAGAAATTTCAGGTATATTTCTATAAGCTCATATTGCAGAAGGAATTCCGATGAGAAATCAGAGAAATAACCTTTCAAAAAATGAAAACTATATGTGAGTGACTATAGTAGGTACTTACTTCTAAATCATCATGTACCATCCGGATTCCTTCATGTTCCGCTGCAGTTTTTGTGCATTTTACAACAGCACAATGTGATGGCATGAGCGAATTGATGAATAGCGGAAAAATACGATTCGTATGCCAAAATAATTGTGGAAAACTATTTCGATCACTTGTAAACAAATAAGAAAAGTGGGGTTGTGTTTCATTGTTGTGCCTCCAGCGTAGGTCATCTGACAGTTCTTGCACGCAACCCATACTTCTGAGAGAGCTGATGGTGGGTACCTTAAAAATGGTGTTAGCCAGCTCTCTATTACACATTGCAAATGTTCCGCACTTCTACTATACTACATTCCAAATAAGAAGATAGTATGTGGCGCTGCCTCTGAAGGAATGATTACACTGAAGAAATAAATATATAGCGCTGAATTCGACATATGAATGTCATGTGATGATATGATCATATTCCCATAAAGAAAACTTCAATCTTGTTTTTACGTCATACGTCATAATCGAGGTCATTATATCAGGCAGGTGTAAAATTGTCTCCAATATTGTCAAGAAGTTCAAATTCCTATAGAATAACATCACTCAAACTCCCGTACTTTTCAAGATTTTCAACATAATATAACGTTTCCTAATTGAAACATCCAGTACAGTGTAGTTTCGTTCAGGTCAGCTGAGATCATATACTTTAGTTCCTGTAAAATGGCAAAGCGCTTACCTGCGAAACTATCTAGGTAAGCATTCTCTGGTTTTCTGTTTTTTCTTTGCTGTTCCTCCTTTTTGGCACAGTTTTATGTTTTCGTGATTAAATAAATTGTGTGTTATACTTTTGAAAACCAATTCTCTTTATTTCGGAATGAATGTTGTTGGGTGATGGAATACTGAAAATCCTCTAGCAAAATAGCCAAACGAGTATTGAGTTGCCACATGGGGTGGAAGAAACGTCTCAGTTGAGATAAGTATCACAGCTCAACATGTATTTTTGAAAAATTTTACAATAACCCTTTAGGGAACATTTTTGTTAAATGTATGTCTGTTCATAATCCCGTTTGTACCATAATGATGTCTGTGATCACTAATTTTTGGACCTTTTTGTAAATACTTGACGAGTATAGCACTGATGATGGCTTTTTAGCCGAAAGCGCTTTGCGATTTATAATAAAAAAAATTTTACACGAAATACAAAATCTCTTCATTCTATTTATAATACTAGTGTCTAAGCCATCTCCTGCCTTAAGGTCCAGTACCAGCTGATCTTCTGCCTGTGGGTGTTGACGTTCAATCCGTTGTTGGCCGAGAAGATGAACAAGTTCAACGTTATACCGATCCTGGCCGATATTCTCAGCGATTCGGTCAAGGAGAAAGTGACCAGGATCATTTTGGCCGTGTTCAGGAACCTGATCGAGAAACCAGAGGACCAACAGGTGGCCAAGGAACATTGCATCGCCATGGTGCAGTGCAAGGTGAGAGTGATTCATTTACGTAAAGGCATAAAATTCTGAGGACCTCTGTGGAACCGCTGCAGAACCGCTGCCAATTCGATAATTCGAGAGGATTTTTCTGATGAAAAATCTTATTCAACTCGGCATAAATAGTTTATGACAAGAAATAAAGCAACCTTCAAAACATAATAGTACACCCATAACAAAATGAATGTCAGAAATTCATATTGTGAACTTTTCAGTTTTTCTAAGGTACAACATTACAAAATCAAAAATATGAATTATTCAAAGATGAACGCAAAGTTTCTATCATCGTGAAGAGAAATTTTCATCTGCTGTTTTTGTTGTTATTAATGATTTTCCGGCTGTTGTGTGATCAGTTTTCGGTGTTTCAGTAACTCATTTAACATTAGAAATCTGAATAAGATGTTTTGGGAATAAATATGGTTCAGCAGTGTAAAATCTGTAAACGAAAGTTAGTTACAAACATTCCAACCTGATATTCCACTGGCTTGGAGAAGTTTCTGTCTTGTTTGATAGCATGATTTTGTTCATAAAAAGCGTGTTTAATATTTTGAAACTATCAAATAACCTCACTAAGACGTTACAAAATAATTTTTTATTATTTTACAACATGTGAGAGTTTGTTTATTAATTCACATACGCAAGTTGATGAATATCCCGATTATTAAATATGCAGGATGATTCAAACTCCAAAAATATTTCGAGGACATATTGCTGGGATCAAAAAAAAATCTTGTGTTCATATAAACATGTGTCCTAAAATGCCCCCCCCCCCCTCCGAAATACAGCCACTGTAAGTTACGTAAAAAATAATATCTAAAATTGTGACTAAAATAACGGTTCAAATCTTCTGAAAATTGGCATACCTTAGTCTTTATTTATTTATTTATTTATTTAATATTAATACATCCAGCAGGCTTACGCCCATTTACAGGTGTATGTAATAATACATGGTTATTAGTTGGACATAACTCGAAAAGAATATAAACTAAGATATGTGAAACTAGTTCCTCAAGGCACTAAATAGTCTATGCTTGAATTGAGACAGCGAGAGAAAAAATATATCAATACTTTGTAAATTGTTGTAACTTCGGCACATTGTTGTAAGGGGACAATGGAAGTGATGTTGTGTGTTGGGCACAGCAATGCGGAACGTTATATCTGATCTTGACACAGATCGTGGTACATTGAAATCAATCATTTCGCGATGTTTTTTAAGAGAAAATAAATCGAATTCGTTCAGCAATAGATCATAGCTATAGTGTCTTTGAGGATACACGCCATATTTTTGATAGTATGCATATTTTAAAAACTTTCTTTACACTGATTCAATGGCTTCGATATATTTGGAATGACATGGATTCCATACGACACTGCAGTAATCTAATTTACTTCTCACCAATGAGAAGTAGACACTGCGCAAAGCACCAAATGATTTGAACTCCTTACAGGTACGAATCAAAAATCCCAAAGACTTCATAGCTCTGCCTATTACACTTTCTATATTAGTGGAGAATGTCAACTTTTGGTCAGAAAGTCTTTTGGAACACCTAATTTTTTTTTACTTCAAAAATTATGAAACGCAGTTTTGAGAGAGTTGGAGGGGGGTCCATACATTCATTGGCCGAAATTTTATGTTTAAAAATAGAACCTCTGACATTGAGTAGCATGATCTTGTGGGTCATAAAAAAATGTAAGAATTCGGTCTCTTGCATTTTTGCACTAACCGTTTGCCATAAAATTGTAATCAACGAAAGAGGGAGTCACAACATCGATTTCGAAGGCAATCGGTTAAACGCTTGCATACGGAGGTGATCGTAAGTCGGAACCCTTTTGTTAGCAGTTTCATAGGCATGTATTACTGGAATACTTGTACTTGATCCTTTATTATGATTCACACAATTCCAGATAATCTTTTTTGTTTACTCAAAACTTACAGTGGCTGTAGGTTGTAGGGAGTACATTTCAGGACATATGTTTATGTAAAGAATTATTTTGATTCCAACAATACGTCCTTGAAATATTTACAACGAATTTTGAATCACTCCGTAAAAAATATAACCATGGAGAGTATGAATTCTCTGTCAATGATTCAGCAGAGTTATCCCCACCATTCGCGAATTGTTAGCGTATACTTCTTAGAGATTTATGAATGAATCGCGGTGTCAATCTATTGTTTTTTAGTCTGAATGTTCCATATCTTTTGTAGGTTCTGAAGCAGTTGGCTATCTTGGAACAACGCAAGTTTGACGATGAAGACGTAACTGGAGATGTCGAATTTTTGACAGAAAAATTGCAGTGCTCCGTCCAAGATTTGAGTTCCTTCGATGAATACTCCACTGAGGTACGTTGGTAGCTCCTTCAATGTGTCCTTTCAGATTTACATTTTTTTTTGTTTTAGGTGAAATCAGGACGCTTGGAATGGTCCCCCGTCCACAAGAGTAAATTCTGGAGGGAAAACGCGCAACGACTGAATGAGAAAAACTACGAGCTTCTTCGTATTCTCATTCACCTATTGGAATCCAGCAAAGATCCATTGGTGTTGAGTGTGGCCAGTTTTGATATTGGGGAGTATGTCCGCCACTATCCTAGAGGAAAGCAGTAAGTTGATGAAAAGAAACGCTCTGTACATTGTGTATCTATTACAGAACATGATATGGTGGCAGGTGTGGGATTGGAAATCGACAGCCAAAATTAAAGATAATTTATTGTTATCTTCGGAAATTACTTTGACAGGTTCATCTTGTTCTAGAACAGTTATGCTGGATGGTATTTTTCCGAAAATTTTCTCGAATATATTACAAAAAATTTCACATTTTGAAACTGAACCAATACTAGGAATATTCTATGAATAATTTGAATGAACAATAAGAACATAGTATTTTTGTTTTTATATTCCTGGTGTCTATTTATTGTATTATAATAATTTAATTCAAGAAAACATTACTTATTCGTTACTGAGGAGTGTGGTACTGTGGTGTAGATTGTAGATTGTAGATGGGTCGTATAGGCTGGGAGACCTCTCGATCACTGCGACCTGGAAGATCTATTGTGATTACCCCTATCTAGTTTTGGTCCTCTAACCCTAGACTTCTGATGAAGCCTACGATTTTCCTGACGGTTGAATTTTCCACTTCAGCAGGGGTGAGATAGACCTGTTCTAGGTGGTTCAGCCTTTGGCGGACTAATACTTCACATGAGCAAAGTATGTGTTCCGCGGTTTCGGTCGCATTGTTACAAAAGCGGCAAGTGTCAGTCTCCGCCAGGCCCATCATTTTGAGGTGGTACCTCAGAGGGTCGTGTCCTGTGAGAAAGCCTGTGATGAGCTTTAGCTCTGGTTTGCTGAGGCTGAGTAGCTCTTTGGCTCGGTTCTGCGAATGGTTGATGAACCTTTTCGCTTGTCGTTGACCTGGAGTTGCTCTCCAGTAGGAGGACTTTTCAATTTCTTCCCATTTCCCGAGTTCTCCCTTTAGGTGACATTTGCTTATTCCTCAAAAAGGCTCAGGACCAAAAAGTGCAGATGCTGCACCTCTTTTTGCAAGGCGATCAGCTGCCTCATTTTCTTTGATTCCTTCATGCCCTGGAACCCACGTAAGTGTGACTTTGTTGCCCTTTCCCAGTTGCATGAGTGTTTCAAAGCAGTCCCATGTAATCTTTGATGTGAAAACGAACGATTTTAGGGCTTTTAGTGCGGCTTGGCTGTCTGAGCAAATATATATGTTGGCACCCCTCAGACCTTTGCTCAGGCACCTTTGGGCGCAAAGGTTGATGGCATGTATTTCAGCTTGGAAGATAGTGGGGGAGTGACCTAAGGCTTCAAATAGCCTACATCCGGGTCCATATACACCCGCGCTTACCCCTTCTTCCATTTTCGAACCATCGGTGTACCAAACAAGGGACCCTCTGTGTACCAAACAAGGGACCCTCTGTCCAGCTGAGGCTCAGCAGAACCGTACCTAGGGCGGCTTTTTATAACCACTTCAAAGGTATGATCGAAACTGAGCCTGGCTGGCATTATGTCCGATGGTTTGGTTGCAGATTCCATTTGTACTTCTTGTAGAATGACCATTTGACCAGTGACATCACCTGGTCTGGCCAATTCAGTGGAGTTCAGTCTTTATGCACTGAGAGCTACTGCACTACTGTGGTGTAAGTGTTCCGGTGAAAATGGCCGCCACTGTCGTTGGATGCGAGATGTAAACAGATATAGTCATTTGTCATCTAAATGAAAAGGCCTATTCGCGATAGAAAATAAGCGTACGCCATCTATCGGAGTATTTGGGAGCTGTCAAAGCGGCCTGTTTACTTTGTTTTCATTGGTTCACATTTGTTTTTTGTTTCTGCTCATTGGTCACATCCATCAAAACGAACCGCTCAGAAGTGTTCAAATGTTGCCGTCAGATGAGGCGACGTGTTATTTTCTATCGCTAATTGCAACCATACTTTCAAAAATCCAAATGTCTACTAATTTCATGTCAAATAGCTGTCTGCCGATAAATCGCTGCTATGGTAATTATCATCTGCATTTATTAAAACCTCATCTACCAAGATTTTCATAGTTACAGTGACAACAGCGATGTGATACTTCCCGGCCTAGTCCGGGAAGTACTAAACTTCCCGCACTAGGTCGGAAAAATGCTACTTTCTCAAAGAAAAAGCGTCCGGGAAGTGAGTACTTCCCGGACTGTTGCCGAAAAAATATCATTCCTTGTAAAGGCCGAGGATAAAAATCTTCACTGTATTTTTCGTTGCAGCGTTATCGAGCAGTTAGGCGGCAAGCAGCTGGTCATGCAGCTGTTGGCCCACGAAGATCCCAACGTACGTTACGAGGCCCTGTTGGCCGTGCAAAAATTGATGGTCCACAATTGGGAGTATTTGGGGCGGCAGCTCGAAAAAGAGCAAAACATCGATAAGAATCCGGCTGGGGCACAGGTAGCGGGTAAAGTGTAAGATGTGCTGTCAAAAGTTACATAACGCCCTTAATTAATTACGCTAACAATATGATCCACCTCCATGTAAAATGTTGAAGCCAAATTTGGGTTTAGTTCTATCCATCTACTGTTTTTCGGTCAAAGTTCTTGACCTACGGCCTACTTGACAGAATTATTCTTTTCAATATTGCGGAATATAGGTCACATTTTACCCGTTAGATGGCGAAATCTCAACCAAAATTCAAGGTTGGTAGAACTGATGACGATTATAATTCCCCAAAATTACAGTTTCGTACTTTCAAATATAATCTCATTCGATTTGAGATTAGCTTATGAATGTTATGATATTATTATTTCTAGTGCAAGCGGTGTGTATTCGTCGTTTTCTGTTTTCTGTCATGAAAGAAATCTGTAAAAAATGTCGCCATCTAGCGAACAACTGAGAACTAATATGCTATCATTGCGGAATCTGCGGTCAAGCGTTCTGGAAGAAACAAAACACTGTCTGTGATTCCACCATATTCGAACCACCTTGAGTTCTATGCTGGTTCGTAGGCGGTGCTAGCGAATCTTAGCGAAATATCGCCAGTTTGTCTTTACTCCTCGGAATATGCTCGAGTCCATCTATCTGCAAGTTGCTCAACCATCTAGGAATAACCTTCTTTCTGGAGCAGGAAAATTACTAACTTTGATATTCTGACTTTTTAATGATGAAAATATTTTAATCCGGCCCTGATACGGCATTCCTCGCGTAAAAACAACTTCGAAGATATTCTGCATTACCGATCTCTACTCTTCACTACTCAACAAAAAGTAGTTCACCTTGTAGCTTATAGATATCGCCGCCCATTAAGCAAATTTGGAAGCTATGTTGATGCAAGGTTGTAGCAATTACTCAAACGGACTTTCAGTAATATTGCAAAAGTAAATTTGTAAATGTAACGTTCCAGCAATGTCACAGCAACATGTAATACTGCTGCAACGCTACATCATCTAACTTCACCTTTGCAATATTGCTGAACGTCCGTTTCAGTAATTGCTTCAACATTGCATCAACATAGCTTTCAACTTTGCTTAGTGGGGCACCTACTGAATAGAATTTCTGGGTTAATTGTTGTCATGACTGGGTTGCCAATTTGTGAGTTATAACTCACGTTTGCTAGTTATTTGAGGGACTGTGAGTGATTTTGTGACTGATGGCTAATTGAATGTTATTTGTGAGTTATCAGAGGTCAGCGACATTGAAATAAGTGGATGACATGCATTGATGTTCGGAAATCCACGCGTTACAGACAGTAATTTATCATTTCATCCATTACTCATTCATTCGAAAATGTAAACGCCGCCACTGAACTTTCAACCTTGATGAAAAGGAGAAAAAAAAATAGAAGAAGAAGACAGTGACAGGTGACAGTATATCTATGCTTAGCAAAGATTACTGAATTCTTCTTCTATAGTATATGTCATTAGACCACAGATTACCACAGAATAGATTATCTGTAATTATACAAACAATAACAATTAACAATACATTATACTATAAATGTCTATATTTCGGAATTTGGATAGATTGGTTCTAAGAAGTAAAGTTCTCACTATTCAGTTATTTTCAGTCTCAAGGTCCTCGCGATCTGTCATCTGTCAAAACCCGGTCTTATTTTTTGACACATGAGATGAGGTCAAGATTGTTCTGTTGCAGAAAAAGGCAAACGTTATTAGTTAATCATAAAATTTTTCATTTTCCTATATTTTGTATCATTTATTTAACAAAAATCTGCCTTGATGTTGATATTTTGATAGTTGTGAGTTGTTTTGAGTGATCTCACATTTTTTCGTGAGGAAATCATTGTAGACCTGTTGGCTTCCCTACAGGAGGATGGTTCATCTTGTTAGTGTAAATACTTGAGGCTACCACTTAGTATTATTTCTCTAACGATTTTTATGTCTAATGATATTTTGAAACTTTACTGTGCCTATGTTTGTAAATAGTTTTTGTGTACATTCCTATTTAGACAGCAGATTGGAAATATGAAACGTACTAGATGGAAATATTAAATATGTATAGTTGAGTTGTTTTATTTGAACTGTTATAAATCATGAATAAATAAAATAAAGGACTATTAAAAATCTGTCTATTTTTTCTATAAATCATTCCTGAAAGGTTTTCACTAGGGTTTCGTTATCGGAATCCAGTTTTGAAACCTGGTATAAAAACTTAGACTCTCCATTCGGATTTCCGGGCGAGAGGTACTAGAGGGGGCATCGGCTAACAAAGGCCTCAAAATATACCTATGTAATATCAGTGGTCTAAGTAAAAACATCAACGATGTTCATCGACTCCTTGAGGGACGTTCTTTTATTCACCGGTGGCTACATATCAATCCACCAACTGCGTTCATATTCATATTCTTTGGTGGATTCCAGTTTGACGTAATCACGCGTTCATTTATTACTGGTGTGTTGAACAAAATTGCAAACCATTCCACCGATGTACAGAGATGGTGGACGAATTTTGGTGGATTTCAAAATGACAGCGACAACATAACCTCAAAAAACTGAAAACAAAATATTGGATATATTATTTGAAAGCATATTGCCATTTGCCTAAGAAAAAATATAAAATATCTACATTATTGGCACCAACAGAAATTGAAGAAATTTCGAGTGGTAGGTACTTTTTCCATTCCCATCATGAATTTCAAGAAATTAGTCTATCTCGTATCCTCCCCAACATAAACAATATTTCATCCTCGGAACTATCAGAAGAACTGCTAGAACTTTGCTGCTCCAATAACACTTTTAATACATCATTTTCCATTTTACATTAGTTTCCGCCAATTCTGATCAAATCCTTATCAAATCACGAAAAAAATGCTTTGATGCATGAAGAAGGAGAATTCTTCAGTTTTCAACATCAAAATATACAGGGTGTAATTTAATTGATGGCTGAAAACTCAGTTTATTTTAAGAATAAAAGTTCCAATGAACATAAGTCCTAAACCGCTTAACTTTCGAGCTATAGGGTGTTAAGATTTTAAGAAAGAATTCGTTTTCTCATCATAACTTCAATACTGTTCTAGATATTTCCATGAAATTTGACATGCACCTACTAAGCACCCATAGGTATTTTTTGATGCAGGAAATTCTGCAATTTTTTCACCAATGGCGTCCGTACGGGATTTATACTGTAGATTTTTCTAAAAAATTATTGTACGCCCTTGCTTTATCCAGAAAAAAAAATCATTTTTGAAATCCTCATTCATTTTGCAACATTTTGAAAGCTCGATTTTTTTTCCATCCGACGCACCGTGTCCACGTAAAAAATAAAAACCATTTTAACAAATTCAAAACATATCTTACTTTCAAACTACCACATGAGATTTTAACGATTTTGCAAATAATTATTAGAAGTGAAAAAATTCTTTAATAAAAAGCTTTCATCTAAACGCTCTAAAAAGTATAAAATAAAATGTTCCTTTTTAATTTTAACTATCAACTTATAACCTCATTATACAGAATTTACATTAACATTTTTTTCGTAGCATATGTATAGCACAAATATGTATACTTCTATTCAAAACACCCTGTATAGTTTTGTCACCGTCTCACAATAAAAAGTAGGTGACTGCTGTCAAAATTTCGATTCGAAACACCCTGTACAGTTTTGTCATCGTCTCAGACTGAAAAAATAATAGTACGTGACTGCTTTGCTGCGATTTGAAACAGCCGGTTAAGTTTTGTCACTGTCTCAGACAATGAAAAAGTATGTTATTGATGCTGTAAAATTTTGGATTCGGAACACCGTTTCGGACAATAAAAAAGTAGGTGACTGATGCTATCAAATTTTCGATTTGGAACACATTGTATATAGTTTTGTCACCGTCTCAGTCAATAAAAAAAGTACACACGTGACTGCATTCATTTCGATTTGAAACATCCTGTATAGTTTTGTCACCGTCTCCGACAATGAAATTCTGTGACAGCTGTGAAAAGTTCGATTTGAAACACCCTGTATAGTTTTTTCACCGTCTCAGACAATGAAACCCGGCCCCTGTATGCCTTATTATTATGATGGTTACTGTCTCAGAGACGATAAAAGTACGTAACTGCTGTCAACATTTCAATTTGAAACACCCTGTAAAGTTTTGTCACCGTCTCAGACAATAAAAAAGTATCTACGTAACTGCTGTCAAATTCCAGATTCGAAACACCCTGTATTAATTAGTCACCGTCTCAGACAATAGGAAAGTAGGGGACTGATGTCAAAATTTCGATTCGAAACACCCTGTATAATCTGGTGCTTGGGTCAACGTCCACGAAGCGAACACACGAAGAGAAAGAGGAGAATCTGTGGAGAGAGGAAAGAGGAAGAGATGGATGCACAAGGGTGGGGCACCCATTTCGGTGCCGTTTGTGCATGAAGACTGGCATGAAGCGCGGGTGGGGGTGAGCAGTGAGCGCGATTGCTCGCTGCCGCCTCGCCCTCCCAGTCGCAGACCTATTTCCAGCGTTGCCAGATGTACTTTATCGAAATAGTCATGTTTTTTAATGAAACCGAAATTTGTTTAGTTTAATTTTCTCTGTCTGATATCCACAGTTTGAACGACAAATTGTTAAATCAAGATTAACTTATGCAGTGTCATTCATAAAGTTAGCATCATATGGAAAAAACTTTTAATGCGTACAAATGTATTTTGAAATTCGTCTTGGGAGTAAAGTTTTTCGTCTAAAAAAAATATAAAAAATGAACACCTGCCAAATTTCAAGTTGATCGGAGTTGATCATCAAAATCTGTTTTTTGCGTATAAAACAAAAACGAATAGATTTGATCAAAATATGTTTTCACATTATAGTTGGCCTTGACAAACTCCACATTTGGTGTCATTTAACCGACCTCGTATCTCTCACCGTTGAAAAGATACCCATGGTGAGCATGGTAAGTGGGACACACTGTATAGTTCTTGAAATTTTTGAAGTCAGTCTACAAAAAAATAACTGAACAAAGTTTCATGAAAGAAATCATGTAGAATCCAAATCGGAGGATAATTGACAACTTGAAAAGTATGTCTTGTTTTTTCTTCTGAACCATGATTTATTTCTACCTACCGGAACTATCGAACGTTGAAATATTTTGAATTCATTATTTATTCTTTCGAGGCAGTAAATGAGGAAATGATAACGATCCTGGTAATTTGGAATGAGGTTATGGTTTGCATAGATATAAAGTCTGAAGTGAGGTAAACTAAAGTTTTCCTAGTATAATTTCATAAAAAATCGACTATCCGAAATGAATTTCGGTTATAAAAAACTGATCATATTGATTGTTCTCCATACCATCCCAAGTTTGGTAAGAACAGCGTACAATGTAAGTACGCTGGTAAGAATTGCACGACAAATGCCTGAGATATACAGGGTGGTCTACTTTATGGTAGCAAAAATTGACGTTCGATAGATCTTATAGGTAGCTGATAATAAAAGTTTCGATATGAATATTTGTCGTAAAAAGCTTTGTTTTCGATATTCAGAGCGTTGAGCGTTGACATTTGAAATTGAAAATCAACGTATGTACAGGCACAGATCCGTCCTGTCCTGGAATACTGTTCCCATATTTGGAGTGCAGCACCCAAACATAACCTGAAACTGTTGGATTCTGCCAAAAAAAGGCAATTCGTCTCGTGTGTGATGCCTCGCTAACAAACTCACTCACTTCTCTCGAACACCGTAGAAAAGTTGTCGATCTGGCTTTATTTTATAGATATAGATGCTCTTCTGAAATATCAACAATTGCTCCTCCCTTGGCAGTCCCCGCGAGATTAACCCGTCGAGTTGAGGCTTCGCGCCCCTTCGTGGTCACTTTGGAGACCTGCATAACATCTCTTTCCAAAGACTCGTTCATCCAACGAACAGCGAGGCTCTGGAACACATTTCCAAGGGAGGTGTCCCCAGAGACATATAACCTCCAGAAATTTAAAAAGAACACCAATTCCTACCTTATTTTCGTGGGAACCAGAACATAAAGAAAAAGAATGCCAACATTACTAAGTGACATCTATTCGTGGTAACCAAGGTCATCGTCTGATGTTGCGATGACATACAAACTTCGGGAAATCATGTCTAACTTTTAATCTAAGCGAGGAGTTAGGAATGTTTTCCCGTAAATCAACGTCAGATGATGACATTGGCTACCACGAATTGAGTATATCCATCAGTAGATGGAACAGTTTTTAATGAACTATTCGACACCTACAACAGAATTTGAAGTCAAATTTGATTTTTCTGATTTTACATGAAAACGGTACGTTCTACATCGAGTTCTAACAGGAGGAATTTTCCCATAAAATTAGACATCTTTATAGGTATTTCATATTCCATATAGTGAAATTTTAACATATTTCTATATTTCATTTACACGTACCTGTTTAATCAGCTGAAAAGTACTCGGAAAAATACTACGAATGTATTGGCTTATCGAAAATCGATTAAAAAATATTGATGCACTCACATCTCATGCATATAACGTTGCCAATTTTCAAATCATAGTGGCTATAAAAAAATAAAGTACATTATTTTTACCAAACAATCTCATAAAAGCGCGAAAAATAGGAAAATGATGATGAAAAAACTACTTAAATTTTGGTACATTTTTTTCCATTTCCACTATGCCTCATTGCAATGTTATGCATAATATCTGAGATGTAACAATATTTTTAAATTGCTTTTACTCGATAATAATACATCTGATCGTCACGAAACAAGAGTACCTTTTTCCTGTAAAGAGGTGTGAAATTTCATAATCCGGTATTAAATTGTTGGAAAATATGCATACAAAAAATTTTGAGCAATATTCAATGTAGTCCCACCCTGTATTATACACTCCTGATGGAAATTTTGAAATGATTTTATTCACACTGCATTGGACATGGAAAGTTTAGCTCTTGAACCAGATTGCATCTTTTTATCACATGGAGTTTCGGAAATACTCAAGAAATATCATCTTCAGGAGCCCCCTTTCAGGGGGCCGTAGCTTCCTCAGGAGACATTTCTCGAATCATGTTCATTGAAAGTTTTCTTTCTATTTTTGGTCCTCAAAGCCGCTGGTGAAGTTTGGCAGGCTTATTTCGGAACACCCTTTATATCATGATATGTACATACTTCAATGACACATTTCTTTATATAAGGTCGACTAGAAATATGATTTTCTTGTGATTTATCTATATTAAGTGAAAAGAAGGAAGAATATCATTTAAAATAATGGCGTGTGTAACGTCATTCAAAAGCAATCTGTTGACATTCGACATCTCGTATTTTGATTGATTATTGATTAAAAGGCCGTCATCTGGTATGATTGTTTACTAAATAGGAGTAACTCGCCATAAAATAGTTATTTTTGTATCTAGAGCGCGAAATGCTACTTTGGTGATCGAGACCTGATTTTTTTAACGAGGCGTAGCCGAGTTAAAAAAATAGTCGAGATGACCAAAGTATTTCGCGCTCGAGTTGCAAACAACATTTTTTCTACAAACGTCCAAAAATATAGTTCTAATGCTTAGCTTGATATAAAAAATAGTGTTGAACTGGCTTAAAAGGCCTCCCCCTATCCTCCCTAGGTACGCACGATGTTCCACGAACATAATAGGAATTTCCTTTCGTGCGATCCAAGAGATAAAACAAAGTTATTGTTGAACATTCAGAAATAAATGATTTCGTGGATGTTTGCTCGATTAAGAACCATGAAGTTGAGATTTAAATATCTCATATATATTTTACATAACAATGCGCGAAGTAGGTACTTCGCGCACTGTTTTACTTCGCGCATTGTTTTGTGCAAGGTATCATGGTAACGCAGGGAACTGAAAAAAAGTGTCACTTCGCAATTTGTTATCAATGCGCGAACCTTGTCATTTTTTGACGTTTGTAGGAAAATCATATTTTGTATCGAATTTTCTCCATAAGAATGTGTCAATGAAGTACATACATCATGGATAAACAAAGTGTCCCATGACAAAATAAGAAGTAAATCCATCCAAGACAGGGGAAAATAGAAGACAAAATTTCGAACTTCTTGAAATATTATATCAAAATAATTAATATTTTGTTCACATTTTCATTATCAAATTCGTGTTTTCAGACTAAATTACGTAGTTAAAACAAAAACAAAAAAATCCGTCGCATGATAAGTGAAGATTACTTTCTTAGTTCCAACGTAAATTCAAAAAGAATGTCTCATATTTAATTTTTATGCTAGCAGTAAGAACAAATTTCAGGAAAGTGGAAACAGAGATACTACCATCTACCAACTTATTATTGATCCGGCAACGCCGCAACGAAATTGTCCCTTGTCTTCCAGCAGCCCAGTTTCCAATAAACACATCGCTTTGTGACTTTGCTGTTGACCTGTGTGGGCCCATTTTGACTATTCGTTGTTGTGTTGTGTGTCGTGTTTTGTTAAGTGTGAATTAAACGAACGGTGAAAATGGCCACAGAAGTCGAAAATAACGTACCGCCGTCCGAACCCAAAGAAATCAAAGAAGAAACGGCGGCAGAAAGCAAAGCGGAGGAGGCGGCCGGTAAACAAGAAAATGCCGGCGACGCGCCTGTTGTCAAAGAAAAAACACCCGCTCCTCCGAAACCTACTGTACACAAGGCCAATTTTGATAAAGATATCGTTTATTTGTACCAATTTTCACGCACCCCCTTGCTGCCATCGTTGTCGCCCTATTGTTTGAAAGTGGAAACCTGGTTGAGACTGGCTGGCGTCAAATATGAGGTGAGTAATGACATTTTTAAATTTTTATACTCTCGTTTTCGTTTCATTGTTCTATCTAGGTTGGAATATCTGATTATTTTTGCTCACGAACAAAGAATATAGGGCCTTTTGAACTATTTATCTCTGCTATGACGGTTGTCTCGAAATGTCATTCGATTGTCCGCCATAACGTGAGTTTTCAGCATTTTTTTGTTTCCACCAAGTGGTGGGTAACTAGACTGGTCCAAAAGACAATTCTGATTCAAATTGTGATTATGTTTTCACAACTGTGGCTGAAATAAGATGCGCTTTATACTTTTTTGAAATATTTGGTATTAGGATAAGGAGAATATACTTCAACGAAAGTACCAATTCTTGTTGTTCATATTCCAAGGGTGTGTCATCTGTTAGTTATACATGTTGGCTATGAGAAACAAGGGAGTGCTTGACAAATATCGAGACCACGATATCGAGACAAAATAAATATCTATGATTTTATCGAGGATTATATCTGGAATGTCCTCTTTATAAATCATTTAATTGAACATATCCGGAGACATATCCCTATGTTTTGAATACTGGGTGTCCCAAGTTATCGTATATGGGCAATATCTTGCTTATTTGACAAGATAGTTGAAAAATTCAAAAACCTCATTGAATGGCATTGAAGTAGGTACCTTCCTAATGAAATACCTATAAAAGAATCCATTATATTTGACAGTTCTCTGGCAGCTACCAGCCACATTTTATTTTTAAATGCCATCCCCTGTATATTGTCATTGGAAATTACGTGTCACTCAATTTGGAATACAACGATAGGGTATAGGTACTTGGTATTTTTTTATTGATAATAAAAATATCAACATTTTGTGACTTGTTTCAAGTTACTCAATAATTATCCTTATAAAAATGAAATATTGCCTTCGCCGGTTTTTTTTTGTTTCAAGAAGCCGACGCTTCTCATGTCATAGTAATTTTGAACACTTGCTGTGATATTTAGTTCATTTTTTGATTCACATAAAAGCTATTTTAGATGAAATTCATACCATTGAATAATGGATGTTGCTGTTTTTGTTATAATAATAAAAAAATACCAAGCATATACTATCGTTGTATTCCTATAGGATGGCACGCAATTTTGACAATATGAAGGGGATGCCAATCAAAAATGAAAAGTGGGGGATAACTGCCAGAGAACTATCAAATGTGATTTTTTTATGTCATGAGGAAGGTACTTCAATGCCATTCAGTGCAGTTTTTGAATTATTCAATTATCATGTTAAATAAGCGAGAAATTGCCTGTATACGATAACTTGGGACACCCGGTATACTTCTATCTATGGTTATATACCCGATATATCTGATATTAATATGAATTTTCATTTTTAGGCTTTGCAGAACTTTTTATGATGAATGACTTTTTTTCCTGTAGATACCTAATGAAAAAGTAAAAAAGTTTTCCATTTCTTGTCAACCTTTTCAGACATACTGTATAATATAATATCTTGTACCATGTGTGACATAGGGTTGCTGTCGAGGTTGCTGTTGCTAGCTTGAAATATAATCATTAGCGGTCATGGACATTTGGATGTTTTCGTAGGGAAGATATAAATAGATTCATTCTGAAGTCTTGAAATTCTTTGATATACACGAATTCCTTCCTTTAGCGAATAAAAATCAAGTGAAAACACGTTGCCTTCGTTATTTTTGATAGGTAATTACCTCAATGAATCAGTTCGAAAAAAAAAACAAGAATATCTTCAAGTTGAAGCCCTATTGTGTTTTTCGATGAATTTTCAATACAGAAATTACAAATTTCCAAATTCAAAACGTTCACTTCTCAAATAAGTAAAAATCTAGGTCAGAATCGAAAAATTTCTTGTATACAAGGCGAGAGATAGGTATTTGTTATTGTTATGGAAGATAAAAGGACTGGCAGTTCTTTCTCGGAGACGGTATTATTGAATCATTTTTAGGAACTATAGCACAACAAAAGCCATCAACAGTGTATACATATGTGATATATATCCGGGAAAAGAGTTGGTTGATTTAGAAATCGACGATGTGAGAGATTTGGGCGATTCCTTCCTAATTGCGATTAGAAACACCAAAAATAAAATTGACCGAAATTTTGTGATCAAAAATTCAGAAAACAGTGCCATCAGTTTTGTGGCGATATTTCGGAAATATGTGGCATTGCGAAAGACAGGGACAACTCATTCAAAATTTTTTGTTCAATACATCAACATAGAATGTACTACGCGAGTAGTAGGAAAAAACATGTTTGGTACATTTCCACGGCAAATAGCAGCTTTCTTGAAATTAGAAAATGCGACGTCTTATACGGGACATTGTTTTAGACGCACATCTGCGTCTTTGTTAGCTGATTCGGGAGCAACAATAGACGTGCTGAAGAGACATGGAGGATGGAAATCCTCCAACGTGGCCGAGGGATATATTGAATCGTCTATTAAAAATAAACAAAAAATTTCAGATAAAATATTTGGTCAAGTCGCCGATTCGTCCACTATAGTTATGCCACAGTCCGCATTCTCGCTTCCTGTTTCCGCAGGATCTTCGAAACAAACACCAGTTCAATATGAAAAGGACCTATCTGTTACTCGTCAGTTACCTGCTGCATTAACCCAGGAAAGACTGGTCAATATGACGAACTGTCACAATATTAATTTGAATATTAACGTTAATTACCATTCTAATTAATTATATTTTTCAATAAAATATCCCTTAAATTCGTTTGTTTGTGATTTAATCGTTCCGGGAGTTTCGTCAATATTTAATCCCGGAGGGATTAAATGTGACACTTTAGTACCTGTCACAAGGGAGTGAAGTTGTCACTTTAGGCCCGGAAGTACGAAAAAACGTTTAATGAGCCCAGAATCGAAATGAAAATACTAAAAATCACGAATAACAATTCTCCAATTGATACTTCTTTTGTATGACAAATCATGGGAATCATTTAGGGGGCAGTTGTCCCCCTTGATTCTCTGAAAAAAAAAAGATTTTACCATTCTTTTTTTTACACTCCTGAAAAACCCATGTACATCATTTCAAAGGGAAAAAACCGACTTGGATACAGGGTGTTCCATCAAAACATATTTGAGTTTGTGTGATATCTCCAGTTTCATACGCAGAAAAAAACTGAGCACGCCTCTGGATTCTGTGCAAAATTGTTTGTTAGACGTAGTTCTTAGTGCAACAGTTTTAATAACTTCGTAGATATAGAGAAGGTGTCCAAAAAGTATAAATATTTAGAATCGCCCTGTACTTCTGGGAATATCCCTCTTATTGAAAAGTGATTCAGAGTTCTGATACGAAGAACGGAAATTCAATCTATCTCGAGCCCAACTCTTATAAAAACTAGATGAATCATCAGCATCGGGTATCGGGATTTGTTTTCCTTTTGGGCAAAACAGACGAATCATTTAATCATAACCGCCTATTATTAATCATAACCACATCCGAGACCAAGCACATCCAACTCGACATCCAATAAAGCCAGCAAAATATAGATTTTCATCAGAGTTTTCATGACAATGATAGACGATTGACGAAATGCGAATTTAATGTGTAAATGTTATTATTAATTTAATTTACGACGATGCCATTTTGACAAAACTCTCTTTCATTGTAATCATAGTACAAATTATTTTACTCGCTAATTAATACAAACACCATAAATATACAAATATACAGGGTGTCTGTAAAAGGTTGGGACATGGCTCGGATGTGGACTCCTGTGATAAAAACAAGTTGATTTTGGCCAACTTACATGTATCCAAAATCGTCTCGTTGAATTGGTACAAGGCGTTGAATTTTTTTTGGAAAAAAATAATTTTGCTCATAATAAGAGTAGGCTGAGATCGATTTTCATAATTTTTGGCATGACATGTTCTGTGACTGTAAGTCACGTTTTGAGATGTTTTTGTCAATCATCATCAGTGACCTGCAAATGTTTCAAACAACCATGTTGCTGTTCAAATTTGGTGATTACTTTTCAGAGGTCAGACTGGAAGCTTCCAGTTTTTTTTTTTCCAGAAAGATATTCCCTTCAGAAATATTTTTTGTATCGTGTTAATTTTTGATAAGTCTCGAGGTTCATTTGCAAATAAATAATTTCTGATCTGAGGCATCTTCTTTCTTAATTTTTGTGTTTTTGCCAGCTTTAAGAATAGTATATACACCTCAGGACAGAATGCTATTTTTCCCTCGGTGCTTTGTATCTCTCGGGCTTCGCCCTCGAGCTATGGAAAAAATCTTGCATTTCTGTCCCTTGATTTATAATGTACTGTTAGGTCCCTATAACGACACAGTGGAGTAATTGAATGCCAATAATTCATTATCAGTTCACTCGCCCATTCTTCATTTCTAAAGGTTCCTATCGAGATATCGAATTAAAGAGCCAGACAAAGAATATTTCAAGGTCAAGGTGTGTTAAACGGTGTCGGTGTCGAATAATGGCATTGAGATCGTCTGGTAGGTTCAACAGTACATTGACGTTACGACATTTTTTCTCCTAGGATCATAATACCTATTTGATGCATTCTGTGTGCTTGGACAAATGATATTTCTCGGATATTTATTATTTGTCGACGTTTTATTCAATATAAACAAATCAACTCCGGTAGCAATCAGAAGGTGCCAATTGTATGAGGTATATTAAATTGACACAGCCGTTTTGGCACAATCAAACTATTTTTCAACACCAACACGAATTTTAGCACAACCCTTTCACAATTTTCCACCCAAATAAGTTATGGACATGACTCGGGACATGATTCAAACGCTACAGTTTATCAATTTTTTAATAACTTTCGAATGCTGTATGTATCGATAATTTGAATTTGAGCAAATTTGAATGTTTTTAAAAGGGACAAATATGCATTCAATACCTGAAATGCATGACATTTTTTTCATGTAATTCTCAATCGTATTCTTTTAGCAACAATCAACAGATTATGATAATAGATTATATATTTTCCAAAAATAGTACAGTTGTGATG